CCCCCCCCCCTCCCCCCACGAATGGAAGCGCTAGCCTTTATACCCAAAAATAAATCTGTACAAACATGAACGCAATATTATTTGAGGGACTAGGAGGACAAGGCGCACAAGTGCAATTTTTGAAAAAAAAAACCCTGAAAAAAGTACCTATATTATATTAATGTGTAATATTTATGGGGGGTGGGGTTGACAAGTATTATAGCCACAACGTGTGGCATTTATGTACATGAATTATAAATAAATAAATAAATATAAATAAAAATAAAAAAATTGAGATATTAATGATTTCAAGTAAAACTAGTCGTAGTGTATATTCTATGAAAAATTCCCTCCCAAATTCCGAATTTTTCAGCAACAAAAAAGCCAATTTGAACTTTATCTTACCACCATAAGAATCGATGTAATTTGGAAACCTCGTACCTACAGATATTTCTCAAAATATCAAAAACTGCACTTATGCGCCTATTGTTTTCCTAGCCCCTCATTTGAATTTTCATAAATTGGACTACATTTTGCAATTAGTCAGAACTAAAATTTCTTGCTCGGTTTATCATAATGACCACTAGTTTCCCTGTGCACATAGGTGATTTTACAAATGAGCCAGAAATGAATTGTACTTCCTAATAGCAAAACGCAGTTCAAATATACAATTGGTTGAAGTGAAGAGGAAAAAGAGAAAAAAAATGCGTACATTTATCTCTGATTGCAACGTTGTTGTGCTCAGCTCACAATTTATTTTTCTATGAGAGAACCAGCCATTAGTTTTTATATAAGTTTTTGTGCATTCCCTCCCCCCCCCCCCCCCCCCATCGAGAGGCTCACAGAATAATCAGAGGCATTTTTACTTAGTATTTTCAAAATATGAAATATTTTAAAATGTGGTACTGGAATCAAAGTATAAAATATTTTAAAATGTGGTACTGGTATTTGGGTACTGGTTGGTGGTGGGAAGTATTGGCTTTCCACCTGTCACACATTACTGACGTTTATAAATGTGTGCACAATGCTCCCAACGTTAAATTCTGAAATCAAGCGCGTTAATATCGGCGTTGGTATGTGATGTGGTATCACGCCGCTTTGAAGGAAACTCCTCTTTTCGGACTCCGGAGTAGGTGCGTGAAGTGTCGGGCGAAGATGAAGGGAAGTATTGGCGTTCCACCTGTTACACATTACTGACGTTTATAATTGTGTGCACAATACTCCCGATGTTAAATTCTGAAATCAAGCGCGTAAATATCGGAACATTGGCGCACTATGGTCCCATAGCCCGATTTAAGCGGCATTAAATCAGATATGTATGTTCAATTGCTGAGCCAACCTTTATACCAGAAGCTTCTCATCACAAGTTTCCAGCAATTTCCTTTAGTTTGGCTCAAAATGATTTCAATTTAAATGTCCAACCGGGTCATTTCTATTGATTTATCAACTCGGTATTCGATCGTTTTTCCCTGAGTCGTTTATACACGGCGACACGACTCTTCCTTTCTCCGTGGAACGGCCCACCCGCACTCTTAGTATTGCAACTATTGCAAGATTTTCCTCTTGAAGCTTTCTAATCTTGATGATAGAGCGTCGATGGTGAAATGAGTGAATATGTGAGGCCCAATCAAAGGCAGAGCGCAGAGATATTATCGGCAGTGGTCTCGCGTGCAGTCTGCATTGGAACTCGAGATTGTTGACTGACTACGCTTTGATGAATAATTAGATAGACACTTATTCCATTGCACGGCGAGGCCGGAAACAAGACAGGTTGCTCATCAGCTCCTCAATAAGCAACAAGCTCACTGGCAACACTAAAAGTTCGGCCAGCGACACACCTCTACCGCTTCACCGAAATCCTCGGCCGAAAGAGAGAGCCTTCGCCTTCGTGCGCTCAACTTCTATAACTCCGCTCTTTCGCGATGATATTTCTCAACATGCCCAATTTCTCACGTCAATGGGTCCGTTGCGCCGGTATAAGGATCGTGTTTTGATGCTTGTAGTTCAGCTAAAAATAATGAGATCCGCTCAAACAGCATTTTTCTACGTTCAATATTAAACGAGATATTGCGCTTTAAAAATTAGATGTCACCCACCACGGTAGTAACACCCTTGGTTTCTTTCACCTCACTTTCATCCGAGTTTCACGTTGAGTAACCACGCCAACTGCGTGTCTCTTTGACTGATGAGAGCAAGGTGCACGGAGGTAACCAAGGATGTCATTTTATACCGAGGTGGATGACGTCATAAACCGACTTTTTCAAAGCGCAATATCTCAATTACCATTGAAAGTACAAATTTTCTGTTTGTACCAATCTTATTATTTTTAGCTGATCTACAAGAATTGAAAATCAAGACACTATTCTGAGACCAGTGCAACTGACCGATTATTCACAGTTTCGCCAGTAGCCTGCTAGATTAGCGCCCAGGGGCCTGGGGTGCCGGCAAGTCCAGGGAGGGATTTCCACAGGCTCGGACTGGCTATAAGGCCAATCTGCTATTGGCAGATATGCCCCTTTTGCGCGCCGAAAACGCGCCCCTCTAACAGATACCAAAATAAGAAGAGAAAAAAAAATTACGACCGAGATTATATGCGGATTTCTTACATGAACAGGAGAAGAGAGAGTTAGGAGTAAAGAAAGGTGCTTTTACGCATAATAGTGGTGAACAGAGGTCCAAGATCCTTTTCCTGAAGCGCAAACACTTTTCTGTAAAATTTTCACCTTTTTGTGACATACGGGTGATTTATCATCCTCCTCCTTCATTCGCATATGCATTGAATAAAGCGTGAGAAAGGATGCGCGTTAACGACGCGACGGCACAGAGATACAACTATTCGTACTTGATGGACGTCAGTGCTGCATTTGAAAAATTGAAGGCGCGATGACGCGAAGCGTGAGCTCTCAATGCTCTGCTATATGCTGTCAATGAGGTGTCGCTCAGATTCGGGAGAAAAGGTAAAAACGAGGCCCGGACACATCTCTTTTACCTTCGGCTGTGTTACTCACGTAGTGCTTGAGGCACCATTCCGAATAAGACGAACGGAAACAAACACAATATAGAAATAAAGTGAGGGAGAGGATGAGCAATGAGCATTAACGACGGCGCAGAGATACAACTATTCGTACTTGATGGACGTCTGTGCTGCATCTGAAGAATTGAAGGCGCGATGACGCGAAGCGTGAGTTCTCAATGCTCTGCTATGCTGTCAATGAGGTGTCGCTCAGATTCGGGAGAAAAGTTATAAGAAAGATGCCCGAATACGTCTTTCCTGATACTCGTTCTTTCTTCTTTTTTCAGTTTCTGTGTCTGATTCTTTTTTAGGACATATTTGCAGACCCACGTCTTAAACTCGTGTAAAGCGCAGCACTGGCTCGGTTTTTTGGAAACGCTTGGATGCATCTAATGGCTTTAATTTTTTATGTTTTCTTTAATTTCTGAAGTCTGTCGGTTACCTCTAATTTTGCAATTTTTACTTTGTACGATTAATGAACTTTGAATCTGAAAATAGCGTAAACTTGTGCTGCGTTGCTAAAATTTGCTGAACCCCTCTCCACATGGGGGATGCCCTACCAGGAGATATTATATTACGCCCTTTTAACCAAGCCGTCCTCATAGATGCGAGCCAGTTCGACCCTCGATTCCCAAGACTTGGTTATATACAAAATTTTAGTGAATATGCTCGTGAGGCTGTTTAGAAACGCAACCACCTAAATAAAGAAAAAGTTGAAAAGAATCATTTACCTGAGGCTGAGGTTTGTCAGCGCCTTTCCTAGGATTTAATGGGTGAACTTCAAGCCGAATTCCTGTAAATACTTCATCATTGATGAGAAAATCAGTGAAACAAGTTCTAAAAACCTCTACTAACATCGATATGAGCTTTAATATTTCCACATTCTGTCAGACTCCTCTCATTGACTTGCTCAGCACCGCTGGTGAAGCGGTTAGTGTTTCAAGTCAAAACACCTTCACTCCCGTGCATATGCAACACGGACATCCATGAAGCCCGAATAGTTGCATTCAAGCGTTATAATGTAATTCCTTTGGTATATCTGTTGCAAGCAACATTAAAATGAAGTTTTGATTGTTTCTCTTAAACTCCATCGTTGCCTATTGTGCCGATGAGGTAAACCATAACTTATAT